TCCATTGACTTACCACTTTTAGCAATTATCCTACAGGTTCCATTAAGGGTCTATCTTCCAGATTGTACTTGTTGGGAAAAACCTTTTGAGAGAGGGAGAGAGAGAAATGAACAACTGGTAATTACAGAGGATGCCAACAATGTCTATTTGTACTCTAAGAAGCCATATACAATATTCTAATGGGGTGATATTATACACAGCTTCCATATATTATGTCCTTCAGTCTCATGGCATTGACAAGATATGTCCATCATATTAAGAAAAAATACTACATACAATATATATTGCGGGGAATTTATCAAAATGAGAGCAGACAGAATCTGTAGCAGAACAAAATGTATCCCATCGCACTCCTGACCCGAAAAAAAGCCCAATATTATCTGTTGCCTGAAGAAGGGACCACTAGGTTCCAAAACGTCGCTGTGAGATGTTACACTACCATAGTCAATAAAGAGATTGACTTGGCATCTCTCTGGAGTGCGAGTGACTTTCTACCTGGATTTGCATAGAATCTGTAGCAGTTGCCCATGGCTTCTTTCTTTAGTTTGTTCAGTTAAGCTTCTCCAGATTCTGCCTGCTCCAGTTTTGATAAATTCCCCCCATTGCGTCTTAAAATCGTACAAGTTACACCTGTGATGCCAGGTTTACAGCGCAGTATGAAGCTGTTTGCTGTTCTCACTTGTGTATAAGTCAGCTTGAGCTATTGAGCTCTGTACATAGGGTTTTTTTTCAGTAAATGCAGTAAGGAGAGTCTGTAAAATACATAAAAAGTACGAAGAGCTCACCTTATTGGCTACATCATAAAATACAAAGGTAGTCCTATGAAAAGAATGTATATACATAACCACTATACATTCCCTTTAAGAACTCGCAGCCCATAAACAAGGATTTTTAGTTATAAATTCAGTTTAAGAGGCCGCATAGGTGTTAATGACAAAATAAAATACTGCAGATTTTAGGATAGTGTTGATTGATAAAACTATCAATTATCTTTCATGAATTATCACTCACCTCCAGACCCTTGATTGCCACCACCAGCTGAACCTCCACCTGGTTGATTGGAGCCTTGAAGCAGTGATTGGGACATGCCTCCACCAGTTCCTCCTCCACCTGATCCTTGATTTTGTGACTGGGAAATCTGAGCAAGGCCGCCTCCCGTACCACCACCACCACCACCACCACCGGAAACCTGGTTTTGGGAGAGGTTACCACCTCCAACGTCGGATCCATGGCCAGCTGCAACAACGATGAATGTAAATAGGATACATTTAGTTTTCAAGTGAAACAAAACGTTTCCGAGAGATTTTGTTTAGCGAGGGGTATTGTTTTTCCCAATATTACACAAACAGTTATTAGATGCTGTCAGTTATGTTCAGTAATTCATTATGAAAGGATGAACAATGGTGAGCTCAACAATCAACTTTTTTCCCCAATATTTCCCCATAGTGACCAAGTCTTATTTCTTCTTCTGCACTATTCACAATGTATAATCAATGCAGAAGTATTACTCTCCTCCAAATAGTTGTGGTAGGTGGGCATTGGAGAAATTTCACCACCGAAGACCCAGAAAACTTACAGGGTTATTCACAAAAGGGTGAAGAGTTTGGAGAAGGCAGGAGAAGTAAACAATCTAGGACAACATAGGTGAACTGGAAAGTGAGCTGAATTGGAGAATTTTTCCAAATCAGCTATGTTGTCCTCAGGACCGATTTACTCTCCATGCTGCCCCAAGGCCAGTCTCCGCAATGCACCCCCTCCCCGCCAAACCCTCCCCATGGAGAATGCCAACCAGATAGCGGGGGTGGCAGGGTTAGTTTGAATTTTTTAATGTTTTTTTTTTAGTTTTTTTATCACTTTTTTTACAATTTTTATTTATCTTGTCATCTTTTACTTTTTTTTTTATTTTTTAATAATTTTTTATCTTATTATTTTTTATTTATAATTATTTTCTTATGATTAATTTTTTTTACTTTATTTTTTTATTTAATTATTATTACTTATTATTTTTTTTTTTATTGATGTAATTTTTTTAATCATTTTTTTCCCACTTAACTTTATTGTTATCACACAGGAGCTAGCAAGCCACTGTGTGATAGCATTTGGAGTTGACTGGTTCTCTTTATTGACCCTGTCACCTCCAATACAGGAGTTCTAGCACAGCACTGTGCTGGAACTCCTGTGACAGCTGAGAGAGGAAGAGCACAGCTCTCCCCTCTCACTGTATACACGGAACGACAGGGTTACTTTTAACCCTGCCGCTCTGCTCACCGCTCTCCATCCTGAAGACAGCGGCGGCCAGCGAGGAGAGGATGGAGCTGGGAGGATGCAGCCAGCATAGAAGGAGAGAGGTAATTGCAGGAGAGGGAGGGGGCCGGCGGGTGAGGACACACAGCCTGCAGTCTGATTACAAGTGATCTTGGCCACATTGCCAATATCACTTGTAAAGAAACAAGTGGTTTCCCCCATTCTACATTTAGCCCTGCTTGTATGAAGCAGGGCTACATGTAGAAAACAAATTACCGCCCGGCGCCCAGAACTCCATGTTCCTGTCGTCGGGTGACTTCAAACCTATGCTGCCCCTCTGCTCGGTGGCCTTGTCGGGAATCCGGCCCTGGTTGTCCTAGATTGTTCACTTCTTTGGCCTTCTCCAAACTCTTCACCCTTTTGTGAATAACCCTGTTTGTCGTTCAACCGGTCAGTATCCACAGCAGTATATGATGATGGAACTTTTAAGGGAAATCTGTTACTCAACAAGGATCATGTTATGTTTATCCATCACCTTGGAGTTTCGGGTTCTCCAAAGCTGTAGCCATTCTTTAGCTTATTAGAACAGATAACAAGTTCACAACAAATAGTACTCACGTCCACCTCTGTTCCTGCAACCTTTGGACACCGGAATATCATTTGGGTTTATTCCTCCTATAGACAAGGAAGGTCAGACATGATGTTTAAACAAACAACATTTTTCTAAATCCAAAAACAAAAAGCAATATATTGCAGCTTGCCAGTACTCAGATATGGTGGCTGCATTTTTTCTTTTTTCCTTACATTTTCAGGTGATCCTGCCAGTAGCAAACTTCCTGTCTCAGGGTGACAAAGCTCACTCACTGTACTGTATTCATGGAGGAGCAGCTTTGTTACCTTAGGACAGGAAGTCTATCCTTTGTGGCTAATAGGAAATATGATTTGATGATTTTTGCTGGGAGTTCAGATTTGAAACTGGATAGACCAAACAGTGAATGTTGTCTAAAGACTAATACTAGGCACACGTTGCTCTCTTCTAGTGCCTGGATCCCTTATTGCCCATCTCCAGTAAAGCTGAGACCAAACAATGATGGCTGTTTAAAGACTGATACTAGCCACACATTGCTTCCTTCTAGTGCCTGGATCCATTATTGCCCATCTCCAGTAAAGCTGAGACTGATGGTTGTCTAAAGACTGATACTAGCCACACATTGCTTCCTTCTAGTGCCTGGATCCATTATTGCCCATCTCCAGTAAAGCTGAGACTGATGGTTGTCTAAAGACTGATACCAGCCACACGTTGCTCCCTTCTAGTGCCTGGATCCATTATTGCCCATCTCCAGTAAAGCTGAGACTGATGGTTGTCTAAAGACTAATACTAGCCACACGTTGATCCCTTCTAGTGCCTGGATCCATTATTGCCCATCTCCAGTAAAGCTGAGACTGATGGTTGTCTAAAGACTGATACTAGCCACACGTTGATCCCTTCTAGTGCCTGGATCCATTATTGCCCATCTCCAGTAATGCTGAGACTGATGGCTGTCTAAAGACTGATACTAGCCACACGTTGTTCCCTTCTAGTGCCTGGATTCATTATTGCCCATCTCCAGTAAAGCTGAGACCAAATAATGATGGCTGTCTAAAGACTGATACTAGCCACACGTTGCTCCCTTCTAGTGCCTGGATCCAATATTGCCCATCTCCAGAAAAGCTGACTTGTGTGTTGTGTGTTTTTTTTTAGCCAGAAAGGTAAAACCTTATTACCTCATACATTCTGGTTCACTTTAAGGGCCCATTCGAAATTACCTTGTCTACAAGTTGGGACTGTGTTGGGCAATGCTGCCCAACACAGTCCCATTGCATAGACTAGGCAATTTGCCTTATGTCCTATTGTATCCGTTCACACCAACGTGCTACACTGGTGTGCAATTAAAAAAGTAGGTTGTATCTTTATGTAGGGCAGTGTATTTTGATGCATCGCAACGTGGTGTGGTACACAGAGAGTAAAGATATGTTAATTTGTGACATTTCAATAAAGTTAATAAAAGGTAAACAGCTCAATGCGTTGTAACAACCCATTGCACCTTCCCTACACAAGGCAGAGTAGCATACATGTGTTACACAGAGCATAATGCTTGCCCGCTTTGTGAATGGGCCCTAACACGTTCCTATGTCACCTCTCTGCTCCTGAGCTGCTCATTGGCAATGCTTTACCATTATATATAATGAGTTGGCAGCTGACAGATAAAGCTGTAGAGTTGAATCAGAAAATAGTGAAGACATGTTGCTGGCTATGCACCCTGGCAGAGTTAAGGGACTCACAAGACTGAATGAATGGAAATATAAAATCATGGCAGGAAAAAGTTTTACATAATGTATTTTAACCTTGTATTTAGCTGTTTTACTGGAGTTGTGCTTTAAATCTTGATTCTTGACATTAAGACTAGCATTAATCCTGTCCCTGCTTGCAACTCCACCCTAACACTAAACCCTTTCTGCTACCCTCCCTAAAACCTCACCCTCAATACTAAATCTCCCTCTAGACCCAATTCTAACACTAACCCTCCCTATAACTATAACACTAACGCTCCCTTCGTAAAACACTAACACAATCTCTAACTGTTCCAGGAACATCCTGGTCATTTTTAATTTGCAAATAAAGAGACGTGCAGGTGAACATATATTATCTGACATTTCGAATTACATGTTGCTCACCAGTGATGATTAAATGGAAATCTTTATAAAGATTACATTGTTAATAAAATGTGTGTATTGAATGGTAAACATAATGCAATCAATTATTGTTATACTTTACCTATCAATCTAGGTGGATTTGCTACACCACCACCACTGCTGCTGGACCCTCCACTGCTAATTTGTTGTAGAATATTGCCTCCACCTGATGATCCAGCAAAGTTTCCTGTGCCTCCACCCGATGATCCAGCAAAGTTTCCTGTGCCTCCACCTGATGATCCAGCAAAGTGGCCTGTGCCTCCGCCCGATGAACCATGAAATGAACCTGAGCCTACATATGAAGATCCACTTGAAGATCCAAATGAACCTGTGCCTCCACTTGATGATCCACCGGAAGATCCATGAAATGAGCTCCCCATTCCACCTGAGGCTTTATGGTAGGTCCCACTTCCCATTGATGAGCTGCTTTGACCAAATGAACCTCCACTCGCTCCTCCACCTGATGCAGCAAAACTGGATCCTCCACCTCCACCTATAATCACTCCTCCGCTGCCTGGTCTCGGAGGAAGGTTTGCATTTCCTGCAATGATGACAGTGTTTTGGTGAGAGCTTCCTCCAGCTGAATGGAATGAAGACATGCCTCCTCCTCCTCCTCCGGAAGAAGAAGAATATATGCTCTGGCTACCTGAGCCTCCAGCTCCAGAACTTCCTCCAGACATGCCGAATGAGCCTCCTCCTCCTCCTCCTCCTCCTCCTCCAGAGGACATAATCATCTGGCTACCTGAGCCTCCAGATCCTGAACTTCCTCCAGACATGCTGAACTGGCTAGATGAGCCTCCTCCTCCTCCTCCTCCTCCTCCAGAGGACATTACATTCTGGCTACCAGAACCTCCGCCTCCACCTCCAAAGGCACCACCTCCACCACCTGACATGCTGCCACTTTGGATAGACATGGAGCTGCTTCCAGCACTCATAGATCCAGACCCACCTGCAAAATTCAAGAGGAAGAGTAAGAATACGAACAACAAAAGCAACACATTTTCTTAGTTCATTCAGGCCTATGTGTAATGAAATCTTAGGAACTGAACAGAGTTAATTTTACAGTATAAAAGTATAAAGCCCTAATGAAGTCTCACACCTTTATAGTCCTGCCCTGATATTGTTATGACATTTAACTGTTTTCCGATTGAAAATGCCTTAATGCAATCTTTTTTTTAAATTAGAAATGTGCTTCCTGCCCTCCCACTAGTGCTCTATGCAAAGATGAGTAGCGGCTACACCCTCCATCACAAGGGTCCTTACATAGACTTGTAGAGCAGCAGAAGTGGGTTATATGACGAGGTCTTATAGACCACTGAGTGCACTGGGCAGCGTGATCGGACACTGGTGCCTACTGGACTACACAGACGTATTTTATCACTCAGAAAAAGTAAAACTATGAAAATAGAAACTCTGAGTGCTGCGTTTTTCTGACTGAATATTTAATCATCAATCTATCTAGTGATTTCTTTCTAAAAATTAAAGTAGAACTATGGCCTTCCAAGACACTTCTCGGTTTATGATGGGGTTACGTTCTGATAAACCCATCGTAAACCCGATTGTATCGCAAATGTACTGTAGTGTACTGTACTGCCGCTGGCTCAGCTCAGTTGTAATGACCAATCAGCGTCCCCAAATGACATGGGGAAGCTGATCTGTCATTAAACAATAACAACTGGGTGGAGCAGGCCATGATGTCCCGACCGGCTCCGCCCAGTTGTTATTCATTACCAGGGCAGTGGCAGGTGCCGGCCAATAGGAAACAGTTGGGCGGAGCTAGCTATCATTATTCGCTCCACCCAATTGTTTTTTTATTTAAAGTGATATTAAAGGCAACATTTTTTTCCCTCCCCCCCATGTAAATGTTAGCACATACCTTAAATGATGTCTCTTATTCTGGTCTTCCTCTTCTTTCCCCATGTTTTCATGTGTCCCTCCAGCGGTGCGGCGTCTCTCCGATCCAGCGCTGACTGCTCTGTCCCTCCGATCCAGCGGTGTCTGCAGGCGGGTGCACGCGTCCATAGACTTACCTTGCGTCTCTGCTCGTATCCCGGCCGAGAATCGGAACTGCGCATGCGCCCGCCCCAAGATCCTTTGCGGCCGTAAGAGCAGTTCCTGATTCTCGGCGTGGGAGCGAGCAGTGATAACGAGGTAAGTTGAAAATTATTTCAAGCGTTTTTTTTTTTTTTTACACTTCTTGACTATATCTACTGCTTGCTAGCAGTAGATATAAGCAAAAAAAAACGGGAGGGTTTAGAACCCCTTTAAAATATATATTTTTAAAATGTTCCTATTTTGTATCATTTTAAAAATAATTCTGCAAATTGTTTGTTCTTTTTCTTCACATTCTTTTCGCATCTTTTCTACTCTGCTCGGTACCTCGGAGGTACTGAGCAGAATAGCTGAGCGGCATTCGGCTATTCACTCACTTCCGTTAGGCCCCTGTGAGAATAATGGCGAACGGCAGCGAGTGAGCTGCCGGAGCTTCGGCTCAGCCGATCCAGATGTAGGATCGGCGGAGTAAAAGTCCTTCTGCCCTTCGGCATGCAGAGCATGTTCGGCTGACCGAAGGCAGCTGATGCATTGCTGATTTTAGCCAATGTACAGCTGAAATCAGCCATACAAGCCAGAAGTGAATGGCAGCCAAACAGCGCTTGGCTCACTTCACTTCGGCTGGGTTATTCACTTGGCTGCCTTCGGTAGCTTTGTGAATAACCCTGTTAGTTGTATTTTAATAGCCACTTCAACTCTGTGCATTTATTAACACATCCAGCACTTTTTTGAAGCAAGTGGATAGTATTAATGCCTAAGGCTATTCCAAAATTTTGCAGCTCTCCTGTATATGGAGGATCTAAACTTAAACAGCGCCTCCATGTCATTTGCAATGACCTCAGTGAACAACTTTGCACCAAGTTTACTATATGGACCAGTGATGTTTTTATACAAGGTGATTGTATTTTCTCTTGATTATTATGCATCCTCTAAAAACACATTAATTGTAGGGCTGGTAATGATTAAAAATTTCCTGTTCGATTAATCAAAAGTTTTTTTAATCGATTAATCGATTAATTTCGATTAATTATAGCGCACATACACATCCAACTACATTGGCCTATACACATACAGCAAGTCAGGCTCCCGATGTCAGAAAAAAAAACAAAAAACGATCCCAGGGAAAGGTTTAATCTGCTCGATTGAGCAGATTAAACCTTTCCGGTAAAAAGTGTGTCTCTCCCGGGTGTACTCACCGGCCCAAGCAGCTCCATCAGGTAACGAAGGGAAGGGGGAAGAGTCCAGTGACGTCACGGACATCGACATCACCGTACTCCTCCCCCATCCCTTCGTTAGCTGACAGAGCCACTTGTGGAAGGGGGGAGGATCCCTGACGGAAGACCTGGAAGCCGGCGGAGAGGTGAGTACGGAGCCAAAGAACTTTAATCGATCAAAAAAATTAACGATTAATCGAGGGATTAATCGTTAATTTCCGCAGCCCTAATTAATTGCTTAGCTTGTAATTTCTGCATCTCCTTTGTACTGTGCTAGCAATGCATCCTTGTATACACTTTTACATTTTTGCATATTATTTGTAAAAAAATCAATAAAAATTCCACATAACAAAAGGAGGAACAGTAAAAGAAAATTGCTGGGTAGAATTACAAAATGGTAACTTTAAAAGAAACAAAAAAGGGCTAAAAAAGCTTATTCTGTTGCTACAGATAAAACAATAATCACCATGAGAGGTACTTACTGACAGAACCAGCTGAAATCCGAATATATCCTGGAGCCCCATCGCACACTGGAAGCAGAGCATTGGCATCTAAATGAGTAGAAGACAACAATGTTAATTGCATACTACGTACATGCCAGAGAAAGTGGAGAAAACGTCAACATTTTGTTGGTCCTTGTTCACATTGGTGCAATAGCGGGCCCGGGTGTATGCAAGTTTTAGCACTATGGTGTGGTGCATTTGGGCAGACCATTCATTTCCTCTTCAATCCTTCAACTTCTGGGAGCAAAAACTGCTATATCGCTGGCTGTGCCTGTGCACTTACTCCCACCACAGGCTTCTATAAGCCCGTCAACCAATACAGCAGATGGCTTGTTGATGGGCCTATAGAAGGACTGATGCGGCAGTGATATTAAGGTAAGTACGGATCGGTGGAGGGATTTTCCCAGGAGAGCTAGAGGAAAGGAAAAAATGGAATTTGTATGCGATACAGTTATCCTCCCACTTCCTGTCCCACAGACACAACAGGAAGTGAGTCAAAATTCCCTCTTACACAGTTGTAACTCGAACAGGTGACCCCATTGGACATTTTTCCCTCAACTCCTATTCCACTGACAATGGACACCAAGACAAATAGAGAGAGCGAATCTCCCCAGTGGGGGTATACTTCAAGGTTATTTAATGGTAGTGCACAGAACAATGATGATTTACAAGGTGCAGTAAGCCATATCAAACAGATTTCGGTTTGCAGCAGTGATGAAAGATAATTTCCCACAGGAATAGTCTAGATTATTACATTTTGCACATTGCCTTAGTATGTAAGCAACATCTAAGTAATCACGCCTTGCCCAATTTTAATTGACAACGACCTGGCTCAAAATCATCTCCTGTGTCCTCACCTTTGGGCAGCATTCCAGTTGGATTAATATCTTGACTTATTTTAATGTCATCTTGATTCTAGGCAGAGTCTAGCGTCAGCAGGGTGGCGGCACACCCTTGCCAGTCAAAAGATGGAACGCCAACTAATTAAATGCCAAAAAGGCCGCGCACACGCAATACAATCTGTGCTCTGCCAAGGAGTGATGGCAGAGCAGGATAATATCATGCGTCAGGTGTGGTCAAAAGCAGAATTTAATGACTGTGATTAACACAAAACAACATGATAAGTCATGCTACTTTCAGTGGAAGGCCGCAAACTTTGGGCAAGAAGGTAGCTACACCCTAGGTAAGTAGCCTGTAGGACTAGAGCACCGGCTGCATTGCGAATATTGTCAATCTTTTTACACTTCAGTGTCCATCAAGGTATAATATATAAAAAAACAAAATATGTGTATGTAAAAGCTACTAAGGACTAAAAATATATTTCAAATATATCCAAATAATCATAACAATAATGTGCCAAGCTGAAATGAAGTGTTGTTATATGACAGTGAGATATACAAAAATGTGCTCAAAGATTCCAATAAACATGAACAAAATATGAGAAGAATCTAAAGTAGTTCAAACAACACAATCTGATGTGTGATAAAATCCAATGTGCAAAAGTCAATAAACGTGCAGGAAGACACAAAGGGCAGTCCGCAGAGATGAATCAGACTTCCAGGTATATGAAGCAGTTGTCACTGAATCTTTTCAGACCTTCACCTACACCCAGTGAGTACAGGTAACAAAGGGGTCTCAAACCATGTTTCCCTTCTTATAAAGGGGAGGGAAGCCCATAAGTATAATAGCAGATGGATCCTCTCAAATTGTGGGCGCCAGCATCAGATTAAAAGACAAACGAACAAATCTGATGCTGGCACCCACAATTTGAAAGGATCCATCTTCTATTATACCTACGGGCTTCCCTCCCCTTTATAAGAAGGGATACGCGGTTTGAGACCTGCTTTGTGGGTCCACAACCCCAGGTGAGGATACCTTTGTTACCTGTACTCACTGGGTGTAGGTGAAGGTCTGAAAAGAATCGGTGACAACTGTGTTATATACCTGGAAGTCTGATTCATCTCTGCGGACTGCCTTCTGTGTCTTCCTGCACGTTTATTGACCCATGCACATTGGATTTTATCACACATCAGATTGTGTTGTTTGAGCTACTTTGGATTCTACTCATATGGTGTTCATGTTTATTGGAATCTTTGAAATGTAGGTCAACGGATGCAATACAAATACCATGGTGCCCTTTTGACTCTACTAAGTCCAGGAACCCTGCTAGACTGTCAATGGTGGCTTTTGTATTTGCTTTTCTTCTCAACTCTCCCCACTTGGATACATTAAAACCCATTGGTGGTTAAAAGAAATACTTGAACACTTAAAGACAGAGGAATACAATATTGAACAGGCCACTTGTGTAGGTCAACAATGGCAGCATCCATCTTTCTCTCATGACAGGTTTCCTTTAAGTGCACAATTGTGACTTACCAGAAGGACCAGAGGGCATGTAGTTTTGGTCTTTGCAAAATTTATATGGGGAAGCATCTGTAAAGAGATCAAAGTGTCAGATATTAGCATATTCTAAGTATTCCGATTGACTTTATCAACATTATTTGCATGTTATATTGTTATTATATTCAGTGAGGGTTCCATAGGCTTTTTTTTAAGCTATTACATATGCCTATGATTGTGATAAATGTGCTGCGAATCTGAGTATCAATGTGCTTTAATATCAGCCGCACTTCACCGGTATATGTATAAAATCAACACTATTGTCTTAAATCCAAAATAAATCCATGAGTATATACCACCAAACAATCCCCCATACCTTCTCCATCTTACTTTTGGTGAAACGCGTAAGTGGAGAAGGTATGCCATCTCTGCTTCCATGTGTACTGCTTATACTTGCTTCACTGCAAGTCTACAAGTCTGCTGAGAATGCAACCAAACAAGAGCCTGTCTATGTAATGTATCCTGTACTCTCAGCAGTAACATGGGGAACAAACATACTCCATGTGCTTAGTGACCAATGGCTGCAGCACTACAAGGCCACAATGCTGCCCATTTGCCACTAAGCTGCCTGTGCATCCTGCCACACATGTATAGACAAGGTTGGCTAAATTGCCACTCCTATAGCTTGAGGAACCCTGAGTCCCAGCAGAATGCTTCTGCTACAGCTTGAGTATCCTCAGTAGCTGAAAGACAGTAGGCTGTATCTGCCTAGCAGAAAATAATTGGTATGTACTTCTACTCTTGAATAATTTCAGCTTCACCCAGCACCATGGACAGAGCACAAGAAATGTCTGCAGTGTCTAAACTGAGGGCTGACATGACATTGGGGTTACAATCTCTATCAAAGGAGATGCCAACTTCTGGCCCATTTGGTGGTTTCAATATTAGCCTTGGTCAGTGAGTGTCAGTTTGCTGTAAATGTGTATTTTTTTGAATGCAGTTTATATAAAATGGATAAAACAGGGATTCCTTTTTTCTCTCGGGTCCTATTTCATCTGTGTGCAGAAAAAAAGTGATCCACTGCATTAGCCAGCAATAAATACACAGGCGGAAAAGGCAAAGTGATACCTTTTGTTGGCTGTTAAAAATATGACAAAAATAAAATGTTGGGAACTAAATTCTTTAAAAAAATATATTTTTTGTAAACCACGAAAGGCATTAAATTGCCAACACTTTGAAGTTTCTCTACCTGTTGTATTGTACCTGTGTTTACAGATATAAATTGTTCACAGTTGCACTAATTTATAATTAAATTGTGCAGAAAGTTTGGAATTAACGTGATACTAATTGATTTTTTTAAATTAAATTGTAATATATTTTTCATGTGTGATGTCCTTCGAATACAAAGGTATATGTTGGAGACAGGCTTGTTTCTAAATGTTATGTATAAAATAGGCCTTCTACAGGTAGGAGATACAGCAATTTACAGGCACCAAATATTTTTAAAAAATCTCATTAGAAATATTTATCCATACAATCTAATGCAAATGTACACTGATGTCATCATTTCAGGTACCTTGTTTATCTACATATTTGTTATCTTGTCATCTATAATTGACATGGGAATGTATTATTATTTTGTATTATTATTATTATTATAAAAATATATATTTATCAATGTCCACCACCAATTGTTACTTCCGGAATCATGAAACAAGCGAAACTGTTAGTGGCAGCTGAACATGAACCGTTTGGATGTTTTTACTGTCGAAAGGTGGAAAGTGGTTAATGTTTCACATGTTTAAATAAATTACTTACAATTAGTTGCATACCAGTTAATTATACCAATATAAATATGTATTAATGTATTTATTTTATTACTACCAGCATATATTAATAAAGGCTACCGAATTATGTAATAATGGTTGGATACTACATTTTAAGAAATTAGGACACTAAGGAGGACAATTAGGTTATGTGGTATTATAGATTCTTGGCATGACTTCTATGACATTTATTTAGTGTTATGCGTGATACTCTTTTTTTATTTTGCCCGTTCCCAAAAAAATTCAAGAGAAGATTACAAAAATGTAAAACTGTAAAAATATTTTTCTGTGCTGTGCTAGTTTGCACTCAGAACAGTTATACAAAAGGGTATCATTGTTATTTTATACAGCCATGATTTGCTATTATGAAGTAATATTCTAAATAATAATAATAGCAATAAAATTCTAATATTATGACGGCAATACTAATATAATAACTACATATAACTGCACCATAGAAAACCTATGTTCTTCAAAATTTCATTCATATCGCATTTGCATGTAAGCAAAAATCTATTGAACTGGTTGGGTAATTTCATCCTTTAGCATCTCTTGAAGGTCAGCTACAATACAGTTATCACACCTCACCTTACACATGTACTTATGCCAGTGGTTCTGATACTTACTGCAGACACTTAGCAGGGCTGCCCAGTACAGGAGGACCCTCGATGGACCAAACCTGCTCATCCTGGCTGCTGGAGAGTCAATTATTTTCTCAGTACAGAATCTGATATTCAGCAGATGC